CGTGTGGCAGCCTTAGTAGGAAATTCACACAACAACAAAAAAGGTAACATAGGTAGTAGGGTATCTACACGATTTGTAGAAAGAATCTACATGCTCATGTGAGTATTCACTTTATGCAATGGCAAGAGAGAAAGAAAGATGACATGGGTAGAAATATTGAGACATGATTTGTACTCTAGATTGGGCACGAGCGTGTGTCATAGGTTTCAACCCTTTCCTTCAAGTTACCTTTTCTTTCACTACCGAAATTTCAGATTTGTTCTCTTAACCTTTACCTTTTACTTTTGTTTACCTTTCATTAAGATTGTTGTATATTGAGGAAATGTCCAATTCAAGTGTGTGGGTGCATTTAGCATTTACGTTTTCTTTTTGTGTTTGTATTTGTTTGTGTATTTTGTATGTCTATTTCTAGGTAATACCCTATAATTTTTTTTAAAAAAAAAGAAACAAATTTTATGTTTATTATGATGTTCTTCATGATTGATATTTAATGGTTGAATTCGATGAAATTTGATGAGATGAATGAAGATGTTTGGGATATTATTGTCATATAAGTGTATGCACATTAAAGAGCTTTATGTGTCTTCATGATGGAACATAATTTAGGTAAAAATACTAACTTTGAAAGAAAAAAAAACCCTTTAAAAACTAGACCTAAGCATGGTTTAAATAAACAAGATTTTTTAATTTTTATTTGAGAAATAAATATTAAAAGCATTTCATTAGAAAATTTGGCCTAAGTAAAAAAATTATACTATAATGATTTGAGCTATTTAATAACTAGGAGTATTCATCATAAATATTTACTTTTACATCAAATGAAAATTTGAATTATGAGTATGCAAAGCACTCTAGATTGATGACTTGCTAAGTAACTGGTTCCTTTATCACAAATGTCGATAGTTGCATAAAAAGGCAAGTGACCATTTAGAGAAAAACTATTAAGGCCTTGAAATGAAAAAGAAATTAGGATGCTTAAAATAAAAAATTTTTGATTAGAAAATCTTAATTTATTGCTTTATAGTGGTGGAAAAAGGTAAAAGGTAGAATTGGTGTCGCATGCTTGAATTATGTTTGGTTATAAAGATGCACTAATCAATTTAGAGACATGCATTGATATGACAATAATATCTTGAATATGATCGATTTGACTATTGAATTTTGTTAAATTTTTAATTGAGCATCAATGTTTGAAGAATAATTTTACCGGCATGACATTTGTTTGAACAATTTTATGGGCTTATTGATTGAAAACCCTCATGAGACACAACTCATTCACTAGGGGTAACCTAGGGGTTTAAAGGCTTGTTGTAGATGGTAAATGTAACCGTGATTTCTAAGAAAGTGAGTTAGATTTTTATTTTATTTGTTTTGCTTGAGGACTAACAAAATTTAAGTGTGGAGGTAGTAGAGGAGACAAAATTAGCATGATTTTTATGATCTTTAACATTAAACTTTCTAGTAGTTATTATACTATATATAGAAAATTAAGATGAAGACAACGATTTCGTGTTTTGTAAGAAAAACGTCAAATTAAACAAAAAAACCCAAACTAAAAGCAACGAAAAGCAAAAATACACTAAGGAAGCTTAAAGAGACACACGACCTAATTTGATACAAGAAGAAATAGCTACTAGCCATGTAAAACAAAAAAGAAAATTATGTAGATGTTCAAGCATGATTAACTTAGACCTTCTAGATTTCTTATAGGTTTTCCGAAGCCTTAGAGTTGGCTTTGAAAGAAGTGGTCTTCAAAGAATTTATAAAGGACATCTCAATATTTCTAGAATGATATAGTGGGTCAAAATCTAAATTCGGTTAGGCCTCTAAACGATATTCCATATTCTAGTTTAGAAAACTTATCCAAATCTCATTCAAAGTCCGGATCGACTGTGGAGTTTAATTCATGTCTAAAGTTTCGTAACTCCAATTGATGCAAAGCCAAGCTCATGGAATACTTAAAAGGCATACCTACAAGTCTTATGATGGTCTCAAGTCCAAACTAGGTCGTTACCATGGAGGAATTCAATTGCAAAGTGGAATCCTAAGGTTCGACGGATAGGTTAAGTCGATGTCGGCTTTTACCTCATACCGTAGTCGTAGATATCCAATTGATGCAAACTTTAATGTGCTAGAAAGCTAAGAAATAAGGCTACAAATTTCATAAAGAAGAAAACCCTAATTCCGATTTTATCAAGTCCATTTAAGCCGATTATTCAAAAATAAGGGATGTAGTGCAAATTCTATATGGACGAAGGCTTTTTACACGAGATGAAGGTAAAAAGGCACATGACTATGTTTGTTAGTCAAAAAATCCATGTATCATAGCAAACAAGCCATGTGGAGCTATCATGTGTGTGTTGTAATCCTACCTTTTACTATAAATAAAGAAGTTATAGCCTCACTTTATTCTCTCTCTCTCATCCCCCACTTTTTAGCGACCACCATTCATAAGAATTCTCTCTTTGTAATTCATTATGAATAGCTAAACTCCACTCTTGGTTGAATCAAGTTGAAGCTTTTGGTTAATCATTGCGAGATTACCGATTTTATTTCTAAACTTATCTCTATTAGGTATTTTATGTTTTTCTACATGATTGGTTTGTAATTGTATAATTGAATTAATTAGAGTGCACAATAGTTGTTTAGTCATATTACTTATTTCTAGCTAAGTATTCAACTTCGTATAATTGCTTGTCTAAACTTTCCTATGGTAGTAACTAGGGGTTGATGATTATGTGATGTTTTCATTCAATTCCTTAGAAAACATAAAACCCGGTGCTTCGGAAGGTGGCTTAGCTTCTCCTCGTCTTTCTCATCTTAATGTTATTATTGGATTAAATTTATCTAATGCTTAATAGGTTATTTAATAGCTAGGAAATTAATTGGGTATTGTATATTCAGTTAATGACTAAGTATGAAAAGACCGGAGGTCAACATACATGTTGTTGTCTTACGGTGAATATTCATATTTAAGATAAGTTAATTATTTAATTAATAATCACCTACCAAACTAAAAGTGGAAACCGAAGTTCAACCAAGGTTTCGTTATTATTGTTATTTTAATTTATTTTTTTTTTTCAAGCATTCTAAACACACAAAACCCCTTTATACTTAAAGAACACTCCACCAAAAGAAACGACCAATTAAGCCTCCTTCCTTATAGGTTCGCCCTTACTTGCCCTAATTACACTCGTTGTAATCAAATCAATTTAAAACCGTCAATTAATAACTCAATTAGTATTTATTCCAAAATAGCGTCTCTCAAGATGGTAAACAAATCAAATTAAATTTAAAACAATGTCTCCAACATATTAAAAAAGACAATATTATATATTTCAAAATGAATTAATATCCAAAATTTTTTTAAAAGAAATACTATCCTAAACTTATAACATAAAATACGGATTAATGAACGTAGTATTGAAGAAATTTATTAAATTCTTATCAATGTATATTGGATTGTTGTATGGATGAGTGGGTTATTAAAATCATTTACAAAAGAGGTTTAGTCACTAAAAATTAATCCGAAAATATTTTTATCATGAAAAAAATAAAAAAATATAGATAAAGTACTAAATACTTTTCCAAAGCAATTTCATTACGGACTGGACCATCATTAAACCAACAAAAATCAAAATAAATTTAAAAATAGTAAAAAAAAACTAAATAGTTAGTTTGAAATTAAAAGGACTAATTAATTCATTTCTCAAAATAATAGGGTTTAATTTATAATTTACTCATTTTGAGATACTCAATTACCTTTTTTTTTTTTTTTTAACAAGTATTCAGTTTCTTCATGCTTTAATCCTTTGGGTTTGTAACTAGTGTTTTACAATTTGGACTTAAAAAGTATCAAGTCGATTCACATTATTCATTTGATTAACAAGAATATACTTTGAAAAAAATGATATTTTGCATTTGATGACAAATAAAAATTATTTAAGGATAGGATATTTGGCAAAGTTTATAAAAGTGTTTCGATGTAAAATTTTATAAGGTATTTGATTAATTGAATGGAGCATTAACTTGTATTAAAAAGTAGTAGTAATAATAATAAGAAGAAGAAGAAGAAGAAGAAGAAGATTGGAGCATTATCTTAAGTTAAAAAAGTGGAGCATATCTTACATGAGTTGCACATAATATGAATTCAAAATTCATCAATTGGGTTATATTAAGAGGTAGGGTTTTGTCAAATTCTTGAAGTTAGTGTGAATGTTTTGTTTTTTAATTTCAATTATTGTTACTATTTTTGTGTTAATATCTTAAATTAGAGGGTAGTCTTGGATTATTGATTTATCATTATGGATTGAAATGCTATGGACATTTTCATTAGTAGCTCATAAATTATAGTAAGAAAATATTAAAATAAAATAAATAATAATAAAGTAAAATAAATTTCATTAACAAATCAAATCGATTTAAAACCATCAATAAATATCTCAATTAGTATTTATTCCTCGTCTCTCTGAGATGGTAAACAAATCAAATTAAATTTAAAATAGTTCTCTAACATATAAAAAAGACAATATTATATGTCAAAATGAATTAATATCCAATATATATATATATATATATAAAATAGAATACTATCCTAAACTTATAACATAAAATAAAGATTAATGAACTTAGTATTGAAGATATTTATTAAATTCTTATCAATTTATATTAGATTGATGTATGAATGTTTGCTTTATTAAAATCATTTACAAAAGAGGTTTAGTCCCTCTAAATTAATCTGAAAATGTTTTTATTGTGAAAAAAATAAAATAAAAAATACAGATAAAGTATTAAATACTTATCCAGCAATTTGATTAGAGGGACCACCAGCAGACCAACAGACAAGGAAGACAAGAAGACTTGTCCGCATTATTAAAGCCAACCAAAAGCGAAAGAAAGGCACACCCTTTGCATCTATCTGCGTTCTCTTTTCTGCCATTTCTACTCTCACAAACAAACAAGAAAGCATCAATCTTTATTTTAATAATTAAGTTAAAGCCATGGCGGCTGCAGAGGCAGCCAGATCTTCTTCTTCTTCTTCTTCTTCAGGCAGTGGTGGTGGGTCATCAGCCGATTCCTATGTAGGTAGCTTGATTAGCTTGACTTCAAAGTCTGAGATTCGTTATGAAGGCGTTCTTTTTAACATCAACACTCAAGAATCCACTATCGGCTTAAGAAATGGTAATTATTTTAATCTTTCTTTTTTGGGTTTTTCTTTTTAACATTTTTGTGGGGTTTGCTTTCTGGGTTTGTGGTTTTTATGGGTGTTAAGACCGGGATTCTTTCAGTCTCCAATGGGTTTATGTCATTGTGATTTTGTGATGTGGGTTGGAGCTCTGGAGTGCTTTGCTTTTTGGTACAAGTATGTATGTATGTATGTGGATGTTAAAATGTAAATTGTATTTAATGCTGGAAGGTTCGTGAATTTGTTCTAGTAAAGAAAATTTTGGCAAATTTCTATTCCTAATGGAAGATTGTAAAAGATATTAGCATTGGCACATTCGTTATGGGCTTATATTTGAAGAATAAATTCGTGCTGTTTGAGAGGATTAAATTAAGGCAGCCATGTTCGCAAAATCTGCTTCATGGCACTCTTTGGAATTAGACCATTTTGTTTATGATTCAAGGTGATGGTATTCATCGATTAGAGGAAAGATGCCATGTTGATAAGGAAAAAGAAAAGAATGAAAAGTAGGGCATAACACTCTATCTTGTGCAATCCTTAGAATTTGCAGTAGTTTTATGTCTTAAAAGGATCTTTTAGCTTTGCAAGTCATAAAATTCTGTTGATAAACAAGTGCGACAATAACTGCTCCATAGAATGTGATTGATGTTGCATATTCCATAAATGGAAGTTTGGAAATAGAAGAAAAGTGGACCTCGGAATTGTGTATTCTTTGTAAGAAAAGGTGGAACTACATCTCACTTCTCTTTCCATGAGTTGCATTTCATGAATGATTTGATGAGAATTATATGGGATAAGTTCTGATCCAAAGTAAATCATAGAATCTATCTTTTATCAAGGTCGAGATGCTGTGTTGTTTAGAATGGTTGAAGACTTGACTGTTATTTCTAGTCATAGCAGTATTATTCTTCCTTCCCACGACCCCAACTAAATTGCTATCTGGCACCATCTGTTAGATCTCTCTTCCACAGTACGGGAGGCAAGAGGTACTGGCAACTTCTGTTCTGTTTATTTGGCAGTGTGTTGAAAATTCAAGGGCCTAAAGCATTCCTGCACAGGACAAGTTTTTCAAAATTTGAAAATTTAGGCTTTTAACTCCTTTTCCAATCCTGGCGATTGTTGTCTTGTACTCAGACCTTGAAGTCATTAAAACCAACCAGGAAAATCTCCATTTCTTGATTTTATGGTCTTTTCTTTCAGTTTCAGTTGTTTTTCTTCATGTTTCTGTTTCTTTCTGCTTTCCTTTTTATGTGGATCTTTATTCCACCTTGGAATTAGTTACTAACATACCTTTCTTTTCATAAAACAATAATTGGAGATACCCTTAGGCCTTCCATTTTCAAGTTTGCATGTAAATTACTAAACTCCATTTAAAAATTGCTAAACCCCATGAAGCTGTTTCATCTGTCTCTTCGCTCTCTAAGCTGCTAGTCCAAGGTTTCTCTTACATTCACAGCCAAAGAAAGGTGCTTGCATTCAATTTTGTCTTCTTTACAGACAAAACAACATTTATTGAGAAGCAAATCCCTCATTGAGAAACAAGAATTGTTTTGGTGGTAGGACAGCAAACTATCAGCCTGACACAAACAAATTCATCTAAAGAAATTTATTGTATGATAAATTATTGTAAGCATATTTCGAGTTGCGTCAGCCTTTTATACTTGCTATGTTCTTGCATTATGCTCTCTATGCATCATTGTCATATGAAACCAGTGATATTTCCATTATAGAAGTGCTTTTCTTAAGCATAACAATAGTTCTGAAATACCCTCTATTGGTTTCGCCTTATTATACATTTTTTATTTATAGAAAGTTAGTATTATACTTATGCTGGGATAATAATGTGGTAAATTTAAGTTACAATCTTCTATTTTTTGTGCTAATCCTAATCTAAATTGCTATAGCAGCAACTGCATTTTCCTGGAACTTATGCGACATAATGTGTTTTCAGCCACATTAACTCTCTTGTATTTCTGTTAACAATGAAATTGTTAGCCTCAAAAGATTTTTATAGTAAATCTTTGGTCAAGTTCTGATTCAACGTTCTGTATTCCTTCTCTTTCTTTTGGATTCTGTTTAAAGAAGTAGAGCATATTTGTTGGTTCTGAATAAATTGCTTAAATTTGCAGTAAGATCATTTGGAACAGAAGGGCGGAAAAAGGATGGCCAGCAAGTTCCTCCAAGTGATAAAATTTATGAGTTCATACTCTTCCGAGGAACTGATATCAAGGTATACTGATTATTTGCATTGAGAATCATTTGCTATATGAAAAATCGAAGTCTGGACTATGTGTTAAGTGTTCTGGGGACATGCATAATATGTATTGTGATCATACTTACTATCACTTCTTATGCTTGATTTCTTCTCGGATAAACTGTCTGAATCATACCGTTTGGAACTAGAAAACATTTGTAGTTTTTTCACACATTACCACTCTTAGTTTTGCTCAATACAAGTTCTTAAGTTCCCACTTGCATGGAAAATATCTTGCATTTCTTGTATTTTGTCGTCTCATATGTAAGTTCAAAAATGTTGTCTTTGGTCATTCCTGCACCATGTTCAAAAGATTGACCATTGATCAATTACACACTTTGGCCTTATATAGATGGTCTACAATGATGCATGTCTACGATAATGCATACAAATTGAAGCTTGTTAGCCACAGACAGACAAGGATTGTTTTGTCATGGATGAGTTTTTTGACATTATGGTACCTACTCATTGCACAAGTAAAACCTTGCTAGTTTTTAATAGTTGTAAGGTTTTGTATTTTTTTCCATCTCGTCTCTTTTATTTAGTCTCCACCTTAAGTTCTGGCTTAAGTCTGGCCAAGATTTGCTAGACTGGAATTTGGGCACAAATTCATCAGCCATGCTGCCCTGACGTGGAACAGGGAATTATATACATGTGAAGAACCTGCCTCCCTGCAGGCAAAAAGTTATTGCAGAAAATCATAAATTATGTTCCACTACAATTCTTAACACTGTCCCTCAGGACATGTCATGCTTGGTATCCGTTTCAGTTGGATATTATTAAAGCTTTGTCGTACGCCAGCACACATAAACATAAAGAAATCTTCCATTTATTGAGTTTTGGAGCATCATGTTGATATTTAAGGAGTTACAATAGATCCTAATTAATTTTACTGCTAATGAGCCAAACATTTTGTTAAGTTGGCACTTGATAGTTTCCATATTTAAGTTATCAAATATCTTTAAATTTTCTTTTCCTTGGTGAATTTGGTAACAGGATTTGCAGGTCAAATCATCTCCACCAGTTCAGACTGCAACTCCGGTACACAATGATCCTGCAATCATCCAGGTGAAGAAAATGAAATTGGTCTCATGCATGTCTATACATGCATTGATAAGATATCATTGATGCTGAGGTGATAAAATTATGGCAGATTTGGATGCTATTAGGGTTTTACAGGAAATTTACCATGGGACCTCTAGTACAAGTTGTGCTGCCTCTCCCCCTTTGCAGGGGAGAGGTCCTGGGGTGAAACTGCAGAGAAATCTTAGGGTGGTGAGGGTTGCCCTCAGTTCATAACTCACAAGAGATTTTCTTTGCATATATGGACATGTGATTCCAGAATAATTTGTTTCATTGTCACTGGGTAATAGTTGTTTCTAATCTGAATAGTGCTTATTGTATCTAGGCTTGACATGGGATGACAAAAAGAATGTCTTCCTCCTTAATCATTATTGTTCATTTGACTTCCCTTGTGCAGTCTCAGTATCCTCAAGCAGCAACTGCATCCATGAATTTGCCCTCTTATAGTAATGGATCTCTAACAGATCCAAGTTCCCATGCTTCATCCAATGGTTTTCCCAGGCCAACATTTCAAGGGAGTCTTCCCCAACATCAGCCTGGTACGAGTTTAGAATCATGGGGTCCATCACATCTTCCTCCAAGCACAAATGGTAGTGGGCTTGCTATGCCAATGTATTGGCAGGGATACTATGGGCCTTCAAATGCAGTTCAGGCCCCACAGCAAGCTTTGCTTCGACCCCCACCCGGCTTGTCAATGCCACCTTCCATGTTGCAATCTGTGCAGTATCCTTCCATGAATGCCTCTAACACTTCACCTTCTCCTTTGTCAGAAAATCCCCCTCCTTTGTTGCCACCATTCAGTACAGGCACCTTAAATTTGCAGACTTCCACTCTTCCTTCATCACGATCTTCTGCAATGGTTTCAGACTTGACAAAGTTAATTCCTGATAGGGTTTCTACTCAAACTCTTCCAAGTAACTTGCCATTGGCATCCCCATTGATTACTGCTGTAGATAAAATTGCTATTGCATCATCAGGTTCTGACATACCCAAGACAGTCCCAGATTCAATAATGCCTTTCAAAAGTATGTCTGATCCTCCATCCTCCATTATGAGGACATCAAGTTCAGTTTTGAATGAGGGGAAAACACCTTCTCTGGTGACACCGGGCCAACTTTTGCAGCCTGGCCCCCCTATAGTGCCCTCACTGCAGTCTTCACAAGTAGCTCAAAAGGATGTTGAGGTGGTGCAGGTATCATCACCAGAATTGTCAGCACCACCACCAACAACAGCGGCAACAGAAGTGCTGCAACCCATATTACCTCTACCTTCACAACCTGAACATAAGGTATGCAAATTTGCTGAGAGGTCTATTATTCTTGACCTGAGAAAATTTGAATTGGGCCTCTTCATATTGATGTTTCCTGGTGCCTAGTTTGGTGATAAATGTTTTTCTACAAGTTACTCACATTTAAGTTGTTTGAATTACAATTTACAGAATGTAACCTACTACTTCTGTTTCTTATCCCCTTGAAGGTATATGGAGCTCCTATGGCTATGTACGCTTATCATACTAGTAGAGGAGGACGTGGGAGGGGAAGAGGAAATGAGGTATGTGTTGTTTGCCTTGCATTTCTGTGTTGGCAAATTTGTTATGATTGGGAAATTTGACTTTGATGCCATGTAACATGGCCTGTGTAAAATAAGAACCTTACATTATCAGATCAGCTGTTCCTTCTAAAGAATATCATATGGAAAGTTTCTGAAAGAATCCTAGTTTAGCCTTGCGTGGTCTAATTTATTTTTCTCCTTTTCCGTTTTTATTTGTTATTATTAGCTGTAGTTGTTTTTGCACTTCCTTTACAAGCATTTGTTGTTCTAGGTACAGCATGGTCTTAGTTTTTGTGCTTAATTTCTTCCTTTCCTTAACGCTAGTTCATTACTAACACCAGAAAAGTAATTCGCTGCATTGCTTTTTGTTGTGGGTTCTTTCATGTCTGCCTCATTAAGAGGACTTTGGAACAAAAGAGTTAACAGAATGTTGTGTAGCAGTCTGCAAGGCAATCCAACTATCAGACTCTGTTTCTTATGAGTTCATTTAACTATTAAATATACTCTAATCTTTGCTCTAATGATGTTTTTGGTGTTTTTCCTTATATTAAACTAGATTAAAGGAACTAAAAACCAACTTGCAAACCCTAACCAGATATTGGTTGTAAGTTTGCAGTCTATTTAGACAAGCTGAGAGACAAGTTGCAACGCTAAAAATTACAATTTTGATCACTTTGATTCAATAATCTCTACTTTCCACTACTAATTGCAATTAAATTGTATGTTTATGCTATCAACTCTTGAATTAACCAACAACCATGCAAGTCAAAGTAGGATTTGTAGACTTTAACAACTCTCAAGACTTAACAGGAAATTTACATTCATTGATGAAAAGTTCTGCGTACAAACGGGGACTCTTCCTCCAACATGATTTCCACACTGTAATTCAATACTTGAGAAATGATTAATAGCTTACATACATGAATTTGAGTACAAGAGAGAGACTAAGTCACCAATCAGCCTACAAATTATTTGCCGATAATATACTGGCTTTCAAACTAACAGCCTGCTAAGCCTAATAAGTTTCAGGTGTGCTGAAACTTAAAGAGAAAAAGCTCTGAGAGCTGCTTGCTGCATGCAAGTGTTGTTGTATGTTGAGTCTTTTGTTGTTCTCTGTGTATTCTCCTATGCTGCAGCTTGTATTTATAGTCCTTTGGTTCTTCTATGATCCCTTATAATGCTGCACATTCCTTTAACTGCCCACGATGTCTTGTAATGCTCAATGTTAGTCATTCCTGCTATTATCACGCTCCATGACTGCCCACTCTTTTCTTACTTAGGAAAATCAGGTCCTCTGCTGATCTCTTATAATTGTTTTGCTTATTACAAGAGTTTTATCAATAGGCAGGCTTCTGATCCATTTAAACAAATTTGTTGGATCTTTGGGCTTAACCAAATTTTGGGTATCACACCTTTTCAAACCAAGTAGTTGCAGCCGTTATTCATTGAGGTAATAATGCTAGTAGACATTGAGTTATAACAAGTCAATCTATGGGAGTGCAGATTTCTCGTTCTGCTACCAGATTCGAGGAGGATTTCGATTTTACTGCAATGAATGAGAAATTCAACAAGGACGAAGTATGGGGTCACCTTGGTAAGATTCACAAAGCTCAAGGCAGGGATGATTTGCTAGATGAAGATGATGTTGGATCATCAAAGCTTGAGACCAAGGTAAATTGTCTCTCGCGCACATATAAAACTGCAGAAATTGAAAGGATTTGCTGTTTCCAGTCTGTTATAATTTTTCTTCTCCGTGTTTTCCTTTCTGCAGCCTGTTTATGTGAAGGATGACTTTTTTGATTCCATATCATGTGACGCTCTTGATGGCGGATCACGTAATGGGAGGGCTAGGTTTTCCCAGCGGTCGAGAAGAGATACTGATGTCTGTGTTGTTCTCTATAACCCTCATCACCTTAATTTTTCTAATTAGAATTTAATCTACAAATTTGTCAATGTTGTTACTGCAGCTACTAAATTACGTGGGATTGTCTGCATAGTTTTGTTTTATTTTAGAATGTAAAAGTATCAAAAACATTCTGAACTGCTGAAATGATGAATTATTTGTTTTCAATTATTGCTTTGATCAAACCAGTTTGGGGATCTGGTATCATTGTGCTGAATTTCTCTTAATTTATATTTGCAGGCATTTGGTAATTTCTCTCACCATCGAGGCGGTCGAGGTGGTTGGGAACCAGGTCGAGGAGGTCGATCACGTGGTGGTTATTATGGAAGAGGATATGGCTATGGCGGTCAGAGTCGAGGTTATGACATGTCAAATGGTGCCTTCTAGTTATCACTTGAGTTCCAGTGTAATATTTAGTTCCTGTCAAAGTCATTCCGCATTAACCAACACTGAGTGTATAGTCAGTTTGGTGCTTGGAGAATGGAGTTTGCAATGCATAACTAGGTTTAACTGTCACCTAATGGTAATGCCCAGCCAAATTGGATATATCTATAGATGGTTTTGTACCTGTTTCTCTGGTTGCTATCTTGGGAACTGTGCTGAAAAAAAACAAAAGAACCCAAAACAGATAAGGGATTTTCAGTGTGTGTTGAGCATTTTTTTTTTCCTTTCCCTTTTTTGTATGGCTAAACTTATTTGCGGGGTTTCCCCACATTTTATGTATTGCCTAAGTAAAATTCAAGAGCTAGCAGTTCTCTTTACATTATTCTCAATTCCTCTGTTCCTTTGCTTCCCCTGCTTCCCCTGTTCACTGATTTGGGTTTTCTGTTCTCTTTGTTGTCTTGTCATTGAGCAGTGCCATTTCATCAAACATTTTTTTGGATTGCACCAGTTTATTAGACTTTGGCAGATATGCAGAAGCATTTCCTTAAGATAATATGATGGGCATATATTTGGTGAATTTTAGGGACATCCCTCTATGATGGTGCAAATTCTCATGAGAATCTGGGTATCAAATACATACAAGTGAAACGTCGAGCCTTTTCTTCCCAAGTTTGAACCAAGTATAAAACCAGTTAAGAACCAAAATGAAGCAAGCCAACGGCAAGAATAGCAGCGGCATATGTGAGTATAACGATCCCGCTGGAACCAAAATGAAGCATCCAATTTTGAGGAGACATGAGACAATTAAATGAGGATGCACCTATAACTTAGATTCAAAAACAGACGACCAAACTTGGCTATATTACCGCCGGAAGGATTACCACCGTCATACAACATCTGGGAAGCCAGGAAAACAATTCGTGCTCTTAGAATTGAGTATAAAGCTTCATATTATGTAAAATTTAGATACATATCACATCCCCAAATACTCAAATAATACTATACCTACTCTCTTCTTTTTTCTTTTTCTTTTTTCCCTCCTCTTTATTAATTAATGACCAACTTATTAAACACCTCAACTAGTAGCACTGCTATTATTATTATTGTTGTTGTTATTTAGTTAATAGAATTAGTAGTTATATTTATTACTATCACTTTCTCTGCTCATCACCACCACTTCATCCACCTCTCAATCATCATAGCTACTCCATTCCTCTTTACTGCTACCTCCATCATCCTCTTCATCATCATGCCCATCCTCCTCTGCATTGCTACCTCCATCATCCTCTTTATCGTCTTGTCCATCTTAATCCTCCTCTTCCTCCTCAGTACTACTTCCATCATCTTCCACCCAAATGGCTTCCAAGTTCGCAAAGACATACTCATAATTTTCATGCTTATCAAGCGTCGATACAAATGAGTTTTATATTTTGTCTCAGAAAAGGAGATGGTAAAAGGATTGCCTTCAATCAATCATCCTAACCAAATTATGTGAAGGATGTCTTCTTAGAAAACAGATTGGAAAAAGCTTTCCAGAGAAAGCCACATCAAGAGCCAAAAAGCCATCAGAGCTTGTCCACGCAGATCTTTGTGGTCCAATTCATCCAGTCTCTTACAACAAAAATAAATATTTCATAACATTTGTTGATGATTATAGCCATAATACTTAGGTATATTTTCTAAAGGAGAAGTCTGAGGTATTTAGCATGTTTAAAAAGTTCAAGACTCTTGTAGAAAAAAGAGAATGGCCAAGAAATCAAGGTTTTGAGATTTGATAAAGGTGGAGAATTTAGATCAAAAGAGTTTAATAAATTTGGTAAAGATAACGAAATTCAGCATCCTCTCAGAATGCCAAGGTCATAACAGAAAATGGTGTGACAAAAAGAAAAAAAAATAGAACAATTCTTGACATGGCTTGAATCGTATTAAAGAGCAAGAGAATACCCAAAGAATTTTAAGTTGAAGCAGTTGATTATTCACTATACTTGTCCAACAGTTGTGCCTCTAAGAGTTTACCTGACAAGACATCTCTAAAAGTCTGGAATGAGAGACAATCAAATGTCAAGCACTTATGAGTTTTTGGAAGCATTGCCTATGTACACACACCAGAGGAAATTTACACCAAACTAGATGATAAAAGTCAGAAGCTAGTATCATTGGCTAAGACAAATGCTCTAAAGGATACATTTTCTATAATCCAAATAATGAGAAGATCATTGTAAGAAAAGATGTTGAGTTCAATGAAGAAGCATTATGGGATTAGAGTATCAAAAAGGAAAAAGATTATGACTTTTTTCCTAGCCTTTGAAGATGAAGGACAATCAAGACAAGCACTTGAAGACATTGCCACTTTTCTTTCATCTCTTGTTCAATCACCAGTTCAAGATGCTTTATCCTCCTTAAGTTTGAGATCAAGTGAATATGAAGACCCCCTCCCTTCCTATAAAAGCTTGGAAGAAATTTATGATGTAATTGAGAATCTAAATGATCAATTTAATCTTTTTTTGCCTTTTTATATGTTGTGAGCCTATTGACTTTTAAAGAGTGGCACAACATAAAAGATGGAAAGCCGCTATAAATTAAGAAATCAAGGCGATCATACAAACTAACACATAGGAGCTAACAATACTTTTGAAAAGGCATAAGGCAATTGGTGTAAAATAGGTGTACAAGATAAAAAGAAATGCCACGAGTGAAGTGGAGAGATACAAGTGGCAAAAGGATACAAATAAAGAGTCGGCATCGACTATGATGAGGTATGTACTCATATTGCTCATCCGAAAACTATAAGACTTATTATTTCTTTAGTAGCATAAAATAAATGAAAGATCTATCAAATGAATGTCAAGTCGGCATTCTTAAATGGCTATCTTGATGAGGAAGTCTACATTGAGTCACCATTAGGCTATATAGAGAAAGAAAATGAACACAAGGTTTTGAGAATAAAGAAGGCTCTCTATAGTTTGAAACAAGCCCCAAGTGTGTGGTATAATCACATAGATAAATATTTTCAAGAAAATAATTTTTCAAAATTCTTTCACGAGTATGTTGTCTACACTAAACATTTGAATAGAAATGTCTTGATCATGTGCCTATATGTGGATGATTTGATCTTCACCGGTAGCAATCCAAGCTTGTTTAAAGACTTTAAGAAGGTCATAACAATAGATTTTGAAATGACTAATAGTGGACATATTTGGCAAAGATGTAGATTTTAGAAAATACAAAATGGGCAAAAATAATAGAGTCACCACCTATTCTCGTGGTTACTAGGAAACCATATAGCTAATTTGTTAAGAATTCTAGATAAAGGGTTTGTTATGTGTAGGGTTGATTAAAGATCACTCTACTTCGTCCCGCCTAAGGTAAGTCGTATTGCATACAAATCTAACTTGATTTCTGATTTTTATAATGAAAACCTATGTTCCCGAATTTTTACTAACCGGACGAGTGATTTGAGACTTGATTGGTCAAAGGTCTTATCCTCACTCTAAGACATAATAAATCTAAAATTAAAACTCACATAATAGATATGATAAAAGTATATAATAATAAAAAATTAAAAAGATAGTCCGAAAACATGATTCAAATTGATGACTTTAGATTTCAATTTTTTAGGCAAATCGACAAAATTATTGAAATTGACAAAAATGACCTAAAAACAAGATTCGAACCGTCATGAATTTAAATTTCAAATACATGACAAATTGCTAAAGTCATCAAAAATGGCAAAAACACAAAAACGATATGAAAATAGAGTTCAAATTGACACGACTTCAAATGTCGTGATTTTTAAACTCATGGAAAACAAAATTTGCATGTTAGGCAATCTTGACATGAACGATCCAAACCAAAGTGTAGGCCGCTATGATTTTAAAGTCATGATTTTTTTTAGAAGACTTTTTAGGCAAATTGGCAATAATAACAAATTAATCATCACCATAGGCAAAAACGATCCAAAAATGAGATTTGGACCAATGCAACTCAAACATCACTTTTTTAGGAAAAATTGGCACATGATTGATTTAATATTACATTGGCAAAAAGGGTCCAAAAATGGGATTCAAATCAGCGTGATTATAAATACCACAACTTTCAAAAACAAATAATTAGGCAATTTGCACATTCAATTAATAATTATCAAACAACAAACGAGTCCTTGATCAACATCACAAACAAACAATCTACTCGTGCATACTCAATCCAATCACACGTAAGCAATAAAAATAATCATAAAATACTCAATCCCCTTTATTTCGCCTCAATGTTCCCCGGAATCTTCGATCCTTTCACAAGCTCAATACACTACGATGTGTATTAAACACTTCAATCAATACCAATCACACAACCACACAATCAATTTAATTGATTTATAGTCATACAAAATAAAAATTAAATTTAAGGATGAAGAACAAATTACTTGTTGAAAAAAAATATGAAAAGGTCGAAGGAATTTTTAGGCAACACAAAATGGGGTTAATTTCAACCTTTTTAACCCCGATGGAGATCGATTATTCGATCTATCAAGAAGGAGAGAAGGCCGCTTGTTGTCGGATTTGGATCTAGTATGAGGCAAGGCAGTTATTGGTGACCGGATCGCGTGCTGGATAGACGACGATGAGTTCGTCGCTCATGAACTAGAGAATTGTTATACAAATGAGATCTTTAAAAAGTTTAAAACAGAGAACTGCAAGCTAATAGAAACGCCTTTAGAGTGTGGAACAAAGTTGTCAAAGCATGATGAAGGAGAAAAGGTAAATCCAATACTTTTTAAGAATCTTGTTAAAAGTTTGAGATACTTAACATGTATAAGAACAACTATACTCTTCAATGTTAGACTTATAAGTCACTTTATATAAGCTCCTACCATAACTCACTTGAAAATCGCCAAGAGTATCCTTCGATATATCAAAGGTACATTGGAATATGGGATCTTTTACACTCACACAAAAAACTTTAAACTTGTTGAATATAGTGATAGTGATCTGGACATAAGACTTGGATGATCGAAAAAGTACAAGTAAATTTATGTTCTTCATGGAAGATTTGACATTCACTTAGAGTTTAAAGAAGGCGCTAATTGTCAAACTATCTACTTGTAAAGTAGAATATGTTATTGCCACTTCATGTGTTTGTCATGCATTATGGCGAAGGAGTTTGTTGAAGGAGCTAAATATGTCATTGGAAGAAGCAACCGAGATCTATGTCGATAACAAGTCAACACTTACCTTGGCAAAATAAACTTTATCTTTCATGAAAGGAGTAAGTACATAGATATTTGATATCATTTCATTAGAGAGAGTGTTGTAAGAAAGAAAATCCAGTTGTAGTTTATGAAATCCTAAGACTAAGAAGCCGACATTCTCACTAAACCACTTAAGAAGAATGTATTTCGCAAATTGTGAATCTTACTTGAACTTACCAAATAAAGTTTGAATGGGGTGTTAGAAATTAAACTTGATTTGGCTCAAATTCAATGTCCAAGTCTTGAAAAAACTTCTTTAGATTTTTCTCAAGTCATCTAGCATTGTCAATATTGAAAAATTCTCTTGAAGTTTTTCTAAGATTCTTTGTAGCTCTTTCAAATACATTTATTATGTGTTTATCCTTTAATTTATTAGAATCCTTATTAATTTATATGCGCAAAAATAGAAAGTTAATCAAGAATTGTAGAGAAAATGAGTAAGAATGTGAAGTCGTATTTCCTATAATAATGAGTTATTAATGTATACAAAAATATTTGAGTAAAATATATTTTTATATTTTGTCTACATTACGGTTTTGTCCATCCAATTATTACTCCTTCTCTAACTGACCTTTCATATTTAAAAAATATCGTCACCTTCATTCCCGATGGCAACCGAATTGGAGAGCACCCGTCACCTAAGGCTTGTTGACATTAACCACACCCTACAATGCACTTAGCTACTCCATCCTCCACTATTTTTATCATCCAAAGCGAGTAAAAGACCCAATCTTCGCTACAACCAGACTTGACATTGGCATCGGAAAGTCTATTTTGTGGCAAATCATAAATACGAATCTAGAAAGGGATAGTCTAGTACAATCTGTCATGGTTGCCGATCACCATTAATTTCATGAATAAATACTGCTTGCATATCAAAACTCTATGGTTTATGCTCAAAAACTCTTTCGTTGTCTCTCTTGTAGAAGAATAACTTTGGTAGAGTGGGTCTAAAAATTACTTGTATGAACAAAACAAAATAAAACTAGAATAAATTCATTTAATGCTCAAAATAAAATTACAAGATAAAAGATCCAATAATCTAACACTACAACTATCTATAAGTAACTAGAGACCATTTACTATATAATTTAATTTAATTGATAAATTGGATTAAAAAATCAACTTTACGAAAAACATGCGTACGTATATCATATTTTTATTTATATAAACAAACGATCACTTGCCACATAACCTAAATTTTCTAAATAATTTGTTTCTATATGCGTTTCATTAGCTTGGCCAACAAAATTATCGGGTTTAAACCATGCGTCGAATGATATTGGTTCATCAATTATCTAACTCCTAGTCATATGTATCTCTAATTTCCTATTGACCTCTCCATTTCTCTAACTTGTTATGATATTATCAATTAGACATGGTAATGGTTCATGAATCGCCGATTTCGGTTTAAAAACCACCAGTTTAGGTTTCACCAAAAGGTGGAATCGAACCAAACATTTTATGTCCGGTTACGGTTTCGGTTTGGAACCATAAAATCGACGGTTCCAAACCGTTTGGAACCGACGGTTCAATGATTTTTTTATTGAGGAAAAAAATCAAAATTTTTTTCTCAAGTATAAATCAAAAATTAACATTGAAACGAAAAATTTTTTTTTACATAATGTAAAAATATTATAATATTTTTTACGTTGTAATGTATTTTGCACAATAAATCAAAGGGAAAAAAATAAAAAAAGAAGGGCTTGAACTTAATTTTTGTAAACACTACAAAAATTAAGCTTCCTACGTATCCTCTTGGGGTTTAGAGGAATCAAAGCTTATGTAGTTCTCTTTTACATTTCAAATTACCCCTTTACAAATTACACCTATGTAGCTTCGCCTAGTTGCTTTCTTGATCGGAAGTTCGGCTTCAAAAGTTTCCGTTGTTGTGCCGTCGAGTGTTAGATCCACATTTTCTTCATTGAAATCATATTGTTTTTGTTCTTGTATTCTCTTGTCGGCTCTTATCCAATCATCCACGCATACTTGGGCTTCAAGTGACTTGAGAGCCAATTGTGATCACCTATCATCTAAAATATTACCTCCGGAGCTAAATGCTCTTTTAACGATCGTTATTGAAGCTGGCATATCAAGTATTTGTCTAGCTATTATGGACGGAACCGGAAAGATGCTCGCATGTCTTTTCCACCAATCAATTACTTCAAAATCTACACTCGCATTGCTATCACCAAACTCAAACATAGTTGTTTGATAAATATGAAACTCGGAAGTGGAGCATGATAATCCTCTTAGCCTTTTTTTCCTTTCCATGACCATAAGATAACCGGCTCTAACATGTTAGTTACTTGATGATTGTGGCATAGGTGGTAAAGAGGAACTAGCACGTTGATCACCCACGATTAAAGATATTTCAATATATAAATCTCTAACTTGATTTATAATAGAAGTAGTTTTTAATTCTATATTTCTATCGGATAATTGCAAATACCCATAATAAGTATTCAAAACAGCAGAAAGACCTTCCATTTTAAATCTAGGATCAAAGACTAGAGCAACAAGATAAATAGGTGGAATTGTTTCATAATAACTTAACCATTTTTCTTTCATTATTTGAACAACATTATGTTAAATTGGCATACTTTGTTCTGCATGATTAAAAGCTTCAACAATATTAATTGCTTCAATCATAAATAAATGTGAAGTTGGTTGCTAAACGGCACTAAAAGTGTATGTTGCATTGTTAAAAACACTTAAAAGTTTCAAAAGTGGTTCGCAAATATCAAAATCATTTTGACAAATAAAAACAGAATTATAATTTTACGAAAAGAATAAGCATAATAAATCTCGATATTCAAATGACTCGTCATAAGTTGAATTCCAAGGAGTGGGAACATCTTTTAAAAATCACCTTGGTTTTTTGTTTCTTTCTTTGCAAAACTTTCCCTATGATTTCATCTTTTGGGGATGTGCCTATAAATATTTAGCGAGAGCTTTATTTGGCCTAACAATATCTTTAAGATATCTCAAACCAGATTGTACACATAAATTTAAAACATGACATACGTATCTAATATAAAAAAAACTTACCTCCAAGATGGGGTTGATAAAATTCTTTTAAAGAGTCTATTGAAACATCATTAGAACTAGCATTATCAAAAGAAATTGAAAATATTTTTAAACCTAAAACATATTTATCTAAAATCTTTTTTAGTATCTTATATATATTTTGAGCGAGTATGGTTATCATCAAAAACTCTATATGCAAGAAGACGTTTTTGCATGTGCCATTCATTATCAATCCAATGATAAGTCACACCCATAAAGGAGTGAGTTTGCCATTGATCGGACCATATATCGAACGTATAGAAACACGACCATTCAAATTTGTAAATAATACGGTTAATTCTCTTTTTTTATTTTTATAAAATTTTATAAGCTGATTTTTTTAAAGAATGTCGTTCAATTTGTTTGAAAGCAGGATTCAAAGTGTTAGAACAATAATCACCAAAACCCATTTTTTGACCAAAACTAAAAGATAAATGATCAATACATATCATTTTAGCCATTTCTTCTTTATTTATTTTATCAATATATTGAAATAAAGAGGAAGATTGAGAAGCAAACCCGGATATTTGTGTCCGATGTTTATCATTATCAAGTACGGATGGATGCTTTTTCTCCAAGTGATTTTTGAATGTTCCATAACCACCTCCTTATTTGAACGTGTATTGATTGTTGCGGTAGTTGCAAATCACGGTAAAAATGCGTTTTTCTAAAGGAACTTTTGAGAAATGAATTTTGAAGATGTTGGATGATCTAGGTGTAAAATTTGATTGTTGTTGTTGCTCCCCTACTTGATTTTGATTGGCGGTATTACTTTGTTATGATGGCATATGTGAACTTGAACTTGCCATTTTTTGTAGTATAAAACAATAGAAATATAAAAATTTAAGAAGTATTTGGAGTATAAAAAATATTGTAGGACGAGTATTGAGAATTTTAGACTTAAGAGTTTAAGAGATTGAGAGAGAATGAGAGATTGAGTTGTAAGGAGAATGAAAAAATTGAGAGTGTATTTATAGAGAAAAAATATATAAAAAAGGACAAATGTGACCGTTGTGACAAACGGTCACAAAATGTGACCATTTGTCACACACACACACACATATATATATAAAAGTTAAAAATTATTAGGCTTAATTTTTTTTTCAGTCCACTAGCTACTCGTTCAGCCCATATAAAATTGGTTTTTTAATTTAAATTTTTTCATTTTTTTTTCGGACCCAACACAAATTTATTTGGAAAGATATGGAACCGTCGATTATACGGTTTAATCATCGGTTTAGAACCATCGGTTTTGGTTTTAGGATACCTTGAATTATAAACAACTCCGTAGGTAGCCGGTTACGATCCGATTTGATCAAGGTTACGATTTTAATAATTTCAATTTGATTTTTTAATGGTTCGATTTCAGTTCGAATTATAGTTCAAGTTAAACTGTAACTATGTCTATTATCAACGATTTTGTAAATCGTCCACTCGCAACTAGCAGCAGTCCAGAACAGCAGCTTTGCCCAACTTAATCTGGCCCTTTGCAGAAGTCCCAAATTGAACTCATCAAACGAAAAAGAATCAATAACAAAGATGAAAATTTCCCTCAACGAGAAACCTTATCTTGCAATAAGCCCACATATATATATGACCAACTTTTTGATTGTTTGGTCGCATAACCATTATAACTGTCTGTTGCTTTTGCCACCCAAACTTTGCCTTCAACTCCTCTCCCATAGCCTCTCCAGAGACTAATTCTTTCTCTTTTCAACTCTCTTAACCTTGCAAAGAAAAGAAACAAGAAAAACCTGAACAAACCTTTGACAGACTCTTTCCATGGCAGCCATGCTTCTCTTCTGTCTCGTTCTCCTTTCCGTCTCTTCCTCGGTTCTTGCATCTTCTAGCCCTTTCTTGAATGCCTTGGAGATCCTCTCAACCTCTGGCTATCTCTCCATGGCATTAACCCTTGAAATCACATCAAAAAGACTCAATTTTGAATCATCTGCTGCAACTATATTCGCTCCATTGGACATTGCTTTTGAAAGATCAGGCCAACTTTCTGTTCTTGAACTCCAATATCACATGTCACCATTGATATTTTCTGGGGATAACCTCAAGAGTCTTCCTTTTGGCACAAGAATCCCCACATTATTGCCAAATCACTCACTGATTGTCACTACTAGTTCAGGTTATTTTGATGGCCGGCCGTCAATCAATGGAATCTTGATCCAAGAATCAGCCTTGGTTGATTTTGGGTCTCTGATCATTCATGGGGTGAGTGAGTTCTTCAATTCTTCTCTTGAGATTTATCGTAATTTGGCACCAGAACCAGCACCAAGTCCTAGTCCAATTACTAGTCTTGGCAATACTCCTCAGAACGAATCGTCTGTCTTGGATGTTGATCTTTTAGGCGAGGTTTCACATTTACTAATGTCTAGAGGTTATTCAATAATGGGGGCATTTCTTGATGCGCAACTGTTTGGAATCAAGAACCAGACAAAGTTGACAATCTTTGCACCAGTTGATCAAGCAATGGATGCATATGCAAAGAATGTTAGTGATTATTCATCAATCTTTCGGCAACATGTGGTTCCTGGATTGTTTCCATGGCAAGATTTGGAGGGGTTCAATGATGGGACAAGTTTGCCTACTTTCTCATCAGGAGGGTTCACGATCAATTTGACTAGGTCCGGTGATGTGCTTATTCTTAATGGTGTTCCTGTTATCTTTCCAGATATGTATCGCAGTGACTGGCTGATAATTCATGGTCTGAACCAGCTGCTTACACCAACAATAGAGCAGGAGTTAGTGGGGGAATCGTTCTCAGAACTTGATGCGGCAGAAAATAAACCAAATGTACCTGATTTTGATGACTATGGATATGGAGCACCATGAATGTGCAAATGATCAGTAGTAGATTTAATCTCAAACCTGATTTCAGTATTTCTCTTACCTTTTTAGTTAAATTCTTAGTTTCAGGAACAAACAGTTGTAGATTCAGAACTTCTATTTCTTTTGTTAGCCACTAAGTTTCAATTGTTTGGTGCTGAAATAGAGGCGCATTTTTTGCTTTAATTTTTCTTGTTCACTGTTCTTCGAATCTTATACCTTTCTCTTCTAATACCAAATGGATTCTGGATACCCTTCTCTTCATGTTTTTCACCCAGCATATTGGGCAGCAAATGCTTCTTTTGCAGTAAATAAATCCTCTAGCTGCCGAACCTTTTCCTCACGGGCAACCTTACTCTTCTACATCACACACAGCCCTCGCATTAAATAATGTCTGCCATAAACAAGATTCTGTTTCCTTTTGGGTTTCCCTGATCTCTTGAGAACATTATGAAGTGAAGCTTCAAGTCTTTAATTTTTCCTCGAATTTGGACAGAGTATTTAAGATCCAAAATGAAGCAACTCAACAGCTGAAGTAGCATGCAGAGACATGAGGCAATAATGTCGGCTCGCACGTAAAGCAGCCAACTCATACATATGAACCCACTTAATCATCATACAACTTCATGGAAACCACAAGCTCAGATATTCCTAAACACATGAAGTCAGTTGAACAGGGATCAATTTGTGCTCTTAGAATTGAGGGATAAAGCAAGCTTACATACATGATATAAACTTTAATTTAGCTCAAACTTTTAGATAAATACTCAAACAATAATACTATTACTGTGATTATTTTCTCTTTTCTTATTATAACATATATTTACAAGCTTCGTCCAATATATGAACTTCTGCTTTTTGAATTGTTTTAATTGAGACTTTGTATTCTTTTTTATATTAATTGAATCCATTTACTCTTCATTTTGTTTTGTTTTAGTCCCTTCATTCACTACAAGAAAAAATAAAATAGTGATAGAATTTTCCATCACTAAATCATCATTTTCCGTCGCTATTTATATTTAGCGATGGATTTGTTATAATATTTTTTAGTTGCTAAAACATTCGTTCCTATTTTTTTAGTAGAGAAAATTTATATCCATAGTTGATCAGCAATGAGTTATCCATCGCTAATTTGAAGCATTTTTGTCATTAAATCGAAGTAAACAATTGTCTTTTAGCTCGAAATTGATTGCAAAATCATCGCTATTCCTCGTATTGCCATCACTAAAATTTCTCGTAAATCCATTGTTATATTTGTTACCATTTATGTGTCCGTTGCAAAGAGATTTAATTTTGATGGCTAATTCAATCATTGATCCATCGCTAGATGAAGAAAATTTTTTTATATAAATTAATAGTCGTTTAATGTTAATGGTAGTAACAAACAACTAAAAATAACACCTTATTAAAACAAAAAAAATATTATTGAATAAAATAAAAATAAATTAAATTAAAATCAAATAAATATATAAATGCATTCGGATGTACAAAAACATTTAAAAAAAAAAAAAACAAAGAAAGCTAATCTTCATCATAATTATCTCTTGCATCATTTTTCGACCACTCGGGTATTTAGAGAAATAGTCGACTCTTGGATTGTAAGGGGTTCAGCGGGAGGGATGCGAATTTGCTAAAGGTCCCATAACGCCACCAACAACATCTCTATCCGACTTTGTAAAGTGTGGAATTTACCCTCGTATTACTCGAATCGCCAAGTATAGTCAACCTCCACCCCTTGATCCTATCTTCGTATTGGATAGTAACCTCTTGAATATTATCATCAAGGTACTATGATGTGGTAGAGGACGAGCTAGCGTCAAAATAGAAATAATACTCGAACGCCTATGATCCGAGGTCATACACTCTCTACTTCTTCTCTCCTACTATAGTATCAAAATATATCTTGATCATGTCGATATTTGGAGTTGATGAATCACCCTCCTGCTACTTCTTAGCGAGTTGCTTCTTACAATGACTACACAACTCCTACATAATTGAAATAATTGTAATATTTAATCACAAATATATTTTTTAGATTTTATTGATAGATGTATATTTACAAAAATAAAAAAACTTACCATTATTATCTAGAACCGTCTATCGACGATTGACTTATCTTTTCGCTTATGAGTGTTCAAGAACACCTCACAAGGATTTGGATTATGACATAATTTATTATGCTAAAAAATAGATAAAATAATATGAAATGTAATAAAATCAAATATTAATTTATAACAAAATGGATAATAGGATTTATCAAACATTGAGCATGCTCAATCAAAGAGATGGACTCTATTCCCGTATGCTTAGATGGGCCAAGTATAGACATCATCTATCTTCAACAAGTGGTTTTAGGATACCCACTAAGACTCGGCCTAAAACTCAAGTGTGGCAATCTCGATACCATGCATCTCACACCTGCTTCTGTAATATATGTGGGTTCATTAGTCTTATGCTTCAACTTGTTCAACATGTCGGCATACTACCTTTGTACCGGACTCTCCCATGTGTCCTTAATTAGCGTTTGATGGTCGTACCCCAAAAAATACTTCTACATGAAGAAGAAAAATTAAGATTAGTACATTTTATATTAAATTAATAATTTAAATGGAATATAAATAAATAATTAATACGTTATACTAAACTCATTAAAGTAGAATTATTTTGTCTCCATGGAGATAGACTTTCATGAGGAGCTAACGATCACCAATCGATCTTTGAAACTTATGATGATCCGAGTGGAGCACTTGATGGAACCAAACCGTCAAACAAAAAAAAGTGAATTAATGATTTCAATAATATATGAAAATATAAAACTAATTATCACATATAAAGCACGAGTACTTACTAGGTATTGATGATCCAAATGGTCTCATCCAGTATTATATCCGAGTAGAGCTTCTTAGAATAGAAAAAACCATCAAGGGAACCTCTATAGCCAAGGGTATTACCGATAGGTGCACTATTGATAGGGATGCGAAGTGCCAATACTACTATCAAGTCCATGGTTTTAGACACCAAGCACTAACAATATCATGGAGTGCCACTATCGATGGCATGGTCATGGACAATGACAATATCGGTGCCATGACCATTGACACTACTAGTGTAGATGTTCAAGATCCAATCTGTTTGAATGGTTTGTGTAACATCTCCAACTTAAGACCTAATAGGTTGAGAGTATTACCGTTGTTAATCTACATTCGAAGTACAATAAATGCAAGCTAACATGACACTATGACGTATTCATAATATATCTAAGTATGTAGTACGCTGCAAAAGTCTAATAATGATGATTAGGTCTTGCTTTTTAGTTTAAAATGCACTATTATTTTTTTTTGTTTTATTATTTTATTTAAATTCTTTGAAGTGAAATAATTGGATCTATGATTCTCGGTTTCTTCAAATTCTTTTTCTATTAACTTATATAAATTCATTTACTCGTAACCCATTTCTTAGTAATTAATTTATTATTCTTTTTTCCTAACCATCATTTATTTTAATTATTATCTATTTAAATATACTATCTCATTACTCCGATGATGCTATCATAAAAATAAATATCTTAAAGAAAACTACTCTAACTATGGTTATACTACCATTTTACTATTGATTTTTTGTTTACATACAAACTAATATTTAAATACAAAACCAGTTCAACGCCAACTACTATAAAAATGGCTTATTTACTATCTACATTCATTTCTTTTTAGTTAACCATCTACTATTTCATTGCTTTAACTATCATATAGAAAAACACGAGATATAACTAAGAAGTAAACCGAATACCAAGTACTATAACTCGCTATCAAACCACATCCAATGTATACAAACGAGCAGATCTCTCAGTAGTCGGCTCAAAAGTGAAGAACACCATTTTTACCTATGATAGCTACACCACAAACACATAGTTGACCGACAGACTCGGTAAGTTAACTAGGAAGTAAACCAAAATACCAAGTACTATAACTCGCTATGGTATGTATGATATCCATCCTCAAACCACATCCAATGTATACGGACGGGTAGATCCCTCAATTGTCAGCTCAAAAGTGAAGAACACCATCTTTACTTGTGTTAGCTACACCACAAACACATAGTTGATCGACAACTCGGTAAGTTAACTAATGCATATTATGAATGTAGGTGGCGATACATGTATAAATCATTGGCATGCTTGTGTGAAAATCTTTTTTCATGTCATAAATACTTTTCATAATCTATCTAAAAATCCTTTTTCATCTTTAGACATGTCCCATTATAGGCACTTCTAGGTTTCCATAATATATGTCCGGCAAACCAAACCTCGTCTACAAACACACTCTGCCGAGCCTCTAAAAATGCATGTCCGCACTTGCCGGACATTGAACCATTATCATTAAAGCATGAAAAACCCATGAAGTCCTTTCTTATAAATTCCTCAAAGTCATGAAAATCTCATAGTAAAGCATTTATAAGCTTATATATTTACAAATAGGATTGTAAAGGGAAAAACATATTTAAGATATTTTTAAAATATATATATATGCTTTTTTTATAGTTAGTTACTAGTACAATACTCGTGTGACACCACGAGTAAATCTATTATATAATATGTTTTAATATTTTAAATAATTAAAAAATTTGAGTATAAAATAAAAATTAATTAACATTAATTGCAAAAATTAATTTAATTTAATATGTATTATGCAATATATATATATATATATATATATATATATATAATTTAGTTTCAAATTTATCATATGAATATTTTTTATTTTGATCCATAAAAAAAATTTATTTTATTTTTTAAAAAATAAATTAGAAGAAGGTGCTAAATCAATATATATTTGATGAATGTTTAATTTTAGTTAATGAATCTATAAAAAAAAATTAAAAAATTAACCATTAATTATGAAGGAAAAAATAAATAAATTAAAAATTAAAAGCATAAAAAAAAAGAGAAAAAGATGTCGGGTTGGGCTCACACCAGCTCCTTCCATATGAGCTTAGAGACAACCAAATCCACTCTACTAAACTAAAAGCATAGTCCAAGCAACAAAAAATATGAAGATATTTTTGTAACAATAATTAAAGTTATCAATTGTTTTTTGTAAAATAATAACTCGAATGACCAAAATATAAAAAATTGGATAAAAGGACAAAAAATGTTTTTTTTTTTTTTTTGAAAAAAATGATGTGATTTCAAATAAGAATACTAAAAAACGAGGCCATTGTTTTACTATTATAGGACTTAATTAAAGTGAAAACATATATGTTTTAGCATATTTATAAATTTTTTCATAAATTTTATTGTTTTTATGTAGTTGTATTTAGTATGAACTAGTTTTTTTACTCATGTTATACCGTAGATAGGATAAGACACATAAAATTATTTTAGTTTGCTATTCCATGTTAAATTATGCACATACCAAATTATATCAAATCAAAACTGAATAAAAATTCATTCAATTTTATAATTTTTTAATCAAAATTTTATATTTGATTGAATATTCTTTATATTTTTCATAAATTTTTTATTAAAAAATATTATTTATTTATCTCTATCTATAAACTAAACATTTATAATAGTAAAAAAAAATCAAAATCAATGAATTCTTAGTTAAAAAATTGTTTTGTAAATTGTTTTTTCTAAACATGCTTTGCCTTAAAAAATTGAGGAAAAAAAAGACTAAAGTGACTAAAATAAAATAAAATAAAAAAGAGAGACCAAAATGATACAAAAAAATATTTACAAATTAAAAAAAAAAGTTTAAAAAATGATTAAAGTGTTATATTAGGAAAACTTTAATAATAAATACTTTTAAAATATTTGAAAACTCTAAAAAAATATTTAGCAATTGTTTTACTTTAGTTTTTTTTTTTTAATGCATGGATAACACCATACCAGCCCATATATCCATGCCATATTGGGCTGTATCATTTTGGGCTTAAATTTTATTTTGTTATCGACTGGTTTATATAGTAATAGGTTGTGGAATTTTTTTTTATAATCTTTTTTTAAAGGTGGTCTAACAAGTTGTGGGTTATGAGCTATAACCTTCATCCTTAAATTCCAATTTAACTCTCGAAAGATTTGAATCTAAGAACTTGAAATGAAAATTTCAAGTTATAACTATTACAGCATCGCTTTACAGACACAATTTGGATAACTTGCTTCACCATAATTGTATGCAACTCAAACCAAAGCAAATAGTGTGCTGAGTATTTGCTCTTTTACATATATATATATATATATATATATATATATGGAATTGACAAATAAAAATAAGATCATTATAAATCTTGATATTCATAACTATATCTATTTACGTATATTCTTACAAATTTACTAATTTTTTTTTTTAATTTCATTCTTTTGATAAAACCTTGAGCTGACGTGGTAGTCAGTTGAAAACCTTAAAAAAATAAAGTTAGAATTTTCCCCTTCTGCCTTTCTCTCTCTTATACTGTTCTACTAATGCATAGATTCCTTTTCTGGAGGTTAAACAAAAGCACAAGCAACCAATCTAAGAAAGGAAGGCATAGATCCAAATCCAAAACCCAATTCACCAAACTCAAAAACCCTTTAATAAAGCCAACCCTTTTTGCATTACTTTTCTCCCCCTATCTTTGCGGTTTTGTTACAGAAAATAAGTAAAAAAAAAAAATGGCAGTTCCAGTGATTAAATTTCCGACCTTGATGATGGTAGTGAGGTTAATGGGAGTGGTAGTCACTTCTCTTGTCTTAACATGGACAATTAATTACAGAGGAGGATTGGCTCTTGTCTCTGATAACAAAGATCTCATCTTCAATGTAAGAATTCTAACTCTCTCTAATTTTCATTTTGAGAATGATCAAATCTTTGATACTGTAATTTTAAATCTTGGGTCCTTTTTTTTCCTCTCTGGGTATGGATTACTGGTGGACTTAAGTGTAGTTTCTGTGCCCCTTTTGTAGGTACATCCTGTTTTAATGGTTATTGGGCTTGTACTGTTGAACGGTGAAGGTATGTGTCCCTTTTGTGCTCTTTTGGCATTAGTATTGTGTGTATGCACTTGGGTTGGGTGGAGATGATTAATCAAGAAAATTGCAGGATAAAATGGTTACCTAATGTGCTTTTCATGACCGTAAATTCACAAGAGAGCTCTTTTGATGCGTGAATCTAACACATAGGCTAATTTTTTGGGAATTTTAGAATGCACTGATTTAAGAAGTTCTATAATTAAATGTTTCAAGGTTAACTGGTGTTATAAAACATGCATTGCATGACATGCAATAATTATATTAGTGATTGTTTGTTGTAGTGTTATTATACGACCATCGTTTAGCTTTGTGCAAGTGTTCATCATAGTGTTAGGAAAGGGCATGTTAACTCCCCTTATGCTGATTTCACACACATGCGTGGATTTTTTGTTTTTTGATGTGTGTGTGGCTTAATAAATCCAGAATTGGTGATATTTTGTTTATTAAAGTTGAAATGTGTGGATAATTATTAGGTGAATGAGTTTGCTTCATCCTCAAAAAGGGAGAGAGAAAATTATGACCTCTTTTTGTTAAATCAGTGGTTATTTTTCTTAAATTTTCTGTTTCTATATGACAACACAAAATATGACCTTCTCTGGGAATCATGTTTTGCTGTGCATGCAGTCTTAGGAAAATATGTGGGATGTGGTTTATTATTTCCATGGAACATGCTTCATATTGAACTATGCATGATTGGATATGAACTTATTGCAATGAGAAAGAATGGATGGCATCTTGGTGTTTTATATTTCTTTTGTCATGGTCTCTGAAAACGCTAGAAAGTTGTTTGAGCCGTGTGGGTTTAAAATGTTGTTACTGGCATGTTATAAACTTGTCATGTTCTTTTATCTATGAATTTGAAGCGAGTCACCATTGTTGACATGTTGGTGTTTTCTGATTTTGTGTTTCAAATGTTTGTTATGGGCTCATGCAGCTATGTTAGCCTACAAAACGGTTTCGGGAACAAAAAACTTCAAAAAATTAGTTCATATGACAATACAGTTCCTCGCTTTTTGTTTAAGCTTGATTGGCTTATGGGCTGCTTTGAAATTCCACAATGACAAGGGCATCGACAATTTTTACAGCCTACATTCTTGGTTGGGACTAGCTTGTCTTTTCCTCTTCGGGATCCAGGTCTTCTTTCACTTTTCCTTTTCATTCTCTTTGTTGATTACCCATATGCACTATGTTTCTTGAACTAATAATTATTTCTTCATCCCAGTGGGCTGCTGGGTTTGTAACCTTTTGGTATCCAGGAGGCTCAAAGAATAGCAGGGCCACCTTGCTCCCATGGCATGTGTTCTTTGGGGTTTATATTTACGCACTTGCTGTTGCCACTGCTACTACTGGTATTTTAGAAAAACTCACATTCCTACAAACCAACAAGGTAATATCCCGCTACTCCACTGAAGCTTTGCTGGTGAACTCATTGGGTGTCCTGATGATTGTTCTGGGTGGTTTTGTTGTTCTTGCAACAATTACTTCCCTGAATAGCAAAGTTGACATCCCCAGAAATGCAGCAGAGTAGGAACAATATGTATATTTCCTCAAGTGATGATTGATTAAGAGGTGTATTCTTATTGCATACAAATCACAGGGTTATTATTTATTTTTACAAGATCTACGTACCACAAAAAAATTCTGCTTGCAGTTCTATTTGTTTGCGTGGAGAGCATTGAAAAAGAAATTCTGAAACTTGGTATTTTAGCAAGGTAGAGCAGCGTGGTTTTTTAAGACCACAACTATCACGTTCTCGGTGTTTAAAGGGATTTATGATTTTTCTTCTTTTGCCCCTTGCCATGTATTTTCATGTACATGCTGAATAATATACTTAGGAACTTGACAGTGTGGACTATCGTAAACTGACATCAAAGTTTATGAAATCCATAACCAATAAATCCCAGCTCTTGGGGAAGGTGTTCTTGATTAATATGCAGTTATTGCTTGCTCCTTTCCTCTGAAAAACAAAAAACAAAAAACTAGTTATATATGTTATTATCCTTGTGAATGAACTTGTTCATGATCTTGAGGAAGGAGATCATATAGATTGATGGTAAGCATTTGCTTTCCTGGCTTGAATTTTCTTGACCATAATTAAACTGGATTGGAGATTTTCCAAATTCCACCTATTATCGAATAGAAGGAAATTCTTCTTCCTCTGTTCTTGATCTTCCAAAAGGTACATGGAAATGGCACAAATGTAGCGTTAAATGAGGAAACATAAAGCTTAAGAAGTTCCTTTTGATGATGACGAGACTAAGAACAAAATTGATTTATTGATATGCTAAAACCGTTTAAACTAGCTATTAGCTTTAGCTTTAGTGGTTAATATTGGAAGAGAACATGGAATATTAACCTCCTCCGTTCATAGTGCGGTCTACTGACAGATAATACATTGCTTTTTCAGAAAAGCAATTGTTTCTCAATCATATTTCAAAGTACATTCAAATTGCAGAAGACAAAACAATGGGGAAGGTGTTGTGAAGTAGGTCTGAAAAAATTTCTAAATACAATTCGAGGTTTAAGCTTTTGGCAACAACTGCTGAAAAATAATTGTCTGAAATTCCCAGAAAGGATGCGTCTGTCACAAGTTCACAATACACATGAGTATGCATTGCTAAATCTGCCCGGAGAGGCAAAAATTGCACTCTACACAGTCAGGAAATAAGAAACAAAAATGTCAAAAACTTGGCATTATTCAACAACTGACCAAGAGAGGAAAAGAAACCAATTTGATTAGAAGTTTTTCTAGTCTTATTGCTCCTGTTGCGCTGGCCGGAAAGACGGATATTAGCATCGGCAAAAATTTTGAGGAACCTTGATGATCCATTTTCATGCCATCTATATCCACAAGTGTTCTCTTCGATATTCTCGCACTATGACAGGCACACTCGTGGGTGGAACCTGAAAGCACAAATAATACAAGTCAATAATAGTCGCTTATATTAACAGATGAAGACAACATCTTCAACAGTAAATAAATGAAGTCATGATTGAAAAAGCAAGTTCTTCCTCCCATTCCCATCAGTCCAAGGCCCAGTCCACACCAGATAGATCACCTAGCTTGGAAGTTGGGAGGTTTTTCAAGCAGATGTACATCAATGTGTAAATGCACATGTATCAATTTCAATTGGACTAATGCTCTGAATACAACAAATGAAACCACCATGGACTTTCATAATAGCACAAAAATTAGTTCAATATCAGATGACCTACCATGCCATAATCCGTGATTATCATTGAAACGTAATCTGAAGGTGTTGCATCATATCTGTCCAACATATAAGATCCATGGTCAAGTTCAGAAAACCAACATTTTTCATAGACCATTGTTAGCATCAAAAGAACTTACATCAAATTCAGAAGCTGGAGATTTTCACTATTGGCAGATCCATCAAGAAAGTTGATATCCTCTCTCCCACGAACTTTTGAAATCACCTCTGGATCACCTGCAAGAAATGGACAGGTATCAGATACATTAAGCATGCAGCAATTATAAGCCAGTCATTAATTTTAAGAAGCACCTACTAGAGCCAGAAATGCATACCCAGCTCATTAGAGCATATTGAGTCAAGCTGTACCCTTTCATGAAATTTATATGCTTCACAACAAACCAAGACTGGTACACGAAATGCATGAGCAACCATAGCAACACAAGCAGACCCAACTCTCGAGTAAACTGTTCCGTTGGACAGCACTGACGAAGCACCCAGAAAAACTCTAGTAACTTCATGCATGATATAAGAAATGGCATTTACGTGAGTGTATGTACAGTTGATTCCCTTTCCAACCAACCTACGAAGCAATAGTTGCCCTTCAAGCTTTGGACGAGAATCCACTACCACAACACGGAACTGTTTGCCAAGTTCATGAGCATGCAATAGTACCATTTCAACTGCAGAAGACGATCCATATGTAAGTAGAACATCGCCATCACTGATCTTTGTAACAGCATGTTTGACTATCACCTTGTCTGCAAGTATGATCTTCTCATTTATGAATCTATCAATGTCTGATTGAAGATTTGTTTTTGCTTCCGGTTCAGACAAAGTCAAAGGTAACTTGGCAATTCGATTCTTCAGAAACCTGATTGCATTCCCCATGCTGATTGAAAGGGGCGGCACTCAATAAGGAAAGAAACGTAACTGCCGATTTTTGCTGTCAAGTCTCGAGCAAGAGTTTTTTCAGGAGGGGTTGAGTAGTCTTTAATGGCCTCTTGGAATGCTTGAAGCATTGCAATGCAACGAGCATTGCCACCACATATGTCTCCTGACAAATACTGTAATCCAACCTGTCAACAACAAGAAAAGCTTAACAATTGGACAGCAACACCAGCACACTTGATCCCTTATATAGTGAACTTCAGAAAAAGTTCTAATAACTGATGAAGGTGGGTAGCGTTTGGGAGGTTTAGGAATTTCCAATAACTGATGCAGGTAAGCACTACTTAGGGTTTAAGGGTTACTCTACAATCAATACAGGTGGGCAGTGTTTGGGAGGAATAGGAATTTACAATAACTGATGCAGGTAAGCCTTAATTTGGGTTTAAAGGTTAATCTATGATCAATATAGGTGGGTAGTGTTTGGAAGGTTCAGGGATTTACAATAAGGGAGATTAGGGTTTGAAATTGGGTGTTTAAAAGGTAGAAATGGGGCAGGAATGATGATCAGATTCTGCTGGAAACACATTTTAACCTTGAGAGCCTCACTAATTCCTTTTACTGGATTCATGTAAAAGGGAAAGCTTTAATGGACACACCACCAAGAAATTCACATTAAAAAAAATAATAATAAATTCACAAAATAACCATGTTTGGAAGTTAGTACAATGATCGGACGTATAAACTCAAGAGAAATCCTAATGTAGAAGAAAAACTAAATACCACGAGGAAAAGTAAAGAGTACTCCAACTCATTAAGAACAAAACCTCCTAATTAGTAATTCTAAAACCTAATAAAACTAAAACCACTGATAACCTAAATTTCCACCAAGCCCTATTAGTGCAAAATTACAGAAATATCCCTGCTAAAGATTCATCAGTAACTGTCATATACCATTCATGACCATTCAACTAAAAGTTGCAACAATCAACTAACTTCTACACAGAATCAAATGTGGACTAGATCATGGATAGCAGGTAACATATAAAAGAACAAGACACAACAGTGTGTAGACTTGAACCATATCAAAAAAGTTCACCTGGTTCATATAATCTAAGCTTGTTTAATTCATTCAATGTATAGTACCAGAAGATATGTCCACCGGGGGTGCAAACTAACAACTTCAAATAAATACCTTGTAGACAGCTGGGTGCATTGGATCAAGCTCAAAGAACTTAGACTCAAGTTCAGAAAGCTGATTTCCACGTTCATATTGAGGCAAATGCCTGAACAACTCAACTCTATTCCTAGCATCTCTTTGCTTTACAACCGCACGCCTCTTTGCCTTTTCCACCCGACTCTTGTCATCATATTGCATACGTGGTTGAGGAACTTCCTTCTTTCTATCCTTTTCTGGTGGCCTATCACCTCCCTTCTTCTCTGAAGCTGCAACCGTAGCACTATCCATCTTCTGTGAAGGAGGTGGCTTCACAGATTTACCTGACTTCGCATTCACAGAAGCTACAGCCCCAGAAGCAGCAGCAGGTGTCTTACCACCTTCAGCTAATAACCCCATGATTGAAAGCGTAATTAATGATAGGGTAATTACAACAAATCCTAGAAAACTGATGACCATAATCAAATTCAACAAGGCATCCTTTCATTTATTCCATGAGAAATTTGATAATACAAAAACCAAACAAACAAGGGACGAGTGAACAAACTCCATTTGCTCATTAACAAAACAAAAAATTAAATTAATTAAGACATCCGAGCACATGAAATAGCAATTAAACATAACCAATTACAGAAGCTTTTAACGTCCTAAAAAAAATGATATTTCAAAAGAAAATAATGCAGCTGTATTCACCTTTGGTAGCAGCTTTCGCAGCTCGTTGAGCTTCTTGAAGTGCACGCCTCTCTGCTTTAGTAGTTTTCTCTTTCAATGACTTGGAACGTGTAGATAGATCATTTTGCATTTCCACCGCCACCCCACCACCCTTTTCTGCAATAACATATACTTTTTTTACAGTCATTTCCATGCAGCCTTAAATCACCATAAAAACAACAACCACAATAATAATAAACTAAAAAGAATCCAAGCATTACTTCACAAATCACGCATTACAAAAGAATCACCCTAAATTGATTTAATTTGAACAATCAGCTTAAAATAGAAAAATAATTCAATATGATAGCTAAATTAAAAAGGGAATACCAGAAATACCAATAGGCAAATTGTTAACAACCGAGACCGTAGTCAATCCACTCGCCGGAACACTGCTCGCAGCTGATTTAACCGCCGCATTATCAAGCCCTAACCCTCCCGGCAAGCTGCTCGAAGCAGCAACAGCACCCCTCCCCATCATCGCCGCAGTCACATCATCGGAGAAAGAGGCGGAAGTAGTGGGAGAAACAGGAGGGGGATGAATTCAGCGGAGTCACGGCGGAGAGGGGAGAGAGCGGCGGAGGAGTGGCGAGGAGGAGGGATCATGACGGGAGAGAGAGAGTTACCGGCGGAAGGAGGGGAGTTGTCGACGATAGGAGTAGGGGAAGTGGAGAAGGAGGGGATTGGGTGGTCGGGTGGACCGGATAGGGAACGGTCGGGTGGAGCAGTAAAAAACCCGACTTTACGGACTTTCGGGTCGCTTACTGTTCTTGGAGCCCGCCGAGAGTCCATAATGCTTGAGAGAGAGACGGGAGGAAATTAGGGATTCATTAGAATTGGGAATTTGGATTTTGTCGTTTGGGAGAGAGAGGAGACGAGGAGAATTTGGGGATTTTTGATACAGTGATACTGAGAACGTTGCACTCAAAACGCTGTCGTTCCTTTCTTTTTCTTTTTAATACATTTGATAAATAATAAGAATTTTCATTTCATGATATGCCTTCTTCATCATGATTCCTCTGTAGTTAATTTAGTCCACACATGACACATCTGAGAAAAAAATAAATTAATATTCATGTTCTAATTATTTGAATTTCATTATATAATAATTCATTGATTTTGCGTTGTGTTGCTGCATGGAGTTTATTTGATAATAGGGATGGTATACTTGATGAAAATTTGTGCACCATCCAACTCATTGAGAACATGTTTGGATGGCATCAGAGGAATGGATTTCCATTCCCAGTTTACCACCTCCTCTTTGGCCTTCGTATAATTAACCTTTTGGACCACTTTTTTACCTGTCTTGTCTTGTCCTTCTCTCTGTGCCTTTTTCCCTTATTCGTCGTATATATCCTGACACTAATTACAGAGAATCTTGCCATGCTCCAACAACCTATTTTTGCATAATTTTTAACGAGATGTAAGACTTGCTCTACAGGAAAGTTAGAGAAAAGTTTGTCCATGAGAAAGAGGCATGAAGAGAGAATTGTTTTCCACTCATGAAGCATTTGCTAAAATACTGGAATCATATAAAGCTAAAGCAGACCACAACCTTTCCTTTCAATGCTGCTGGAAATTTGTACCCAAATTTTACCTCAAATGCTGCTGGCTCGCTGCTAGTGCAGAGATGATATAACAGGAGGCAAGTTCTTCAAAGGATCAAATAGATCACCAATATTAAGTTTGATATTACTTGCACTCTATTACTACGGTTTCCCTTGGGTAAAACAGATATTCTAAGAACATCGATAGTGATTATAGATAAATTAAAAGCAAGTGATTATAGATAAATTAAAAGCAATAAATCAGGATGCCATTATCATAAAATAACCGAGTTTGATGGTAATAAGTTTTAACATAGCAAATTCATCAAAGTAGAAATTACTCCTACGTCTTGCCAAATCCTGTTGAGTACAAATAACCAGAGGCATTGCTGAAATGCTCATCAGATCACATGAAGCTTTTGCAGGCGGGTTCTTTAGACATTCCAAGACGAACTTCCATCCCACTATGCATGTCCACTGGACGGAAAGTTTCAGATTCACGAGGATCTGCAAGTATCAACCCAGAAATGACTCATCAGTAGACGTCAGATCAAAAACCTAAGTGAGATGCCAATTCATCTGAAAGCATATGCCAAATTTACCACGACCAAATCAGGAGAAGTTCCCAAAAATAAATGCTGCCCATGTTTAGAATATTTTTGCCAATTACAATCTATCTATCAAGCAAACTAACATGCAAAATAATTACACCCTATCCTTGAAACCCAAAATTACTGTACTAGAACAACCATGATTATCAAAAAAGGACATGATAGGTGATGCAAGATAAATTAAGGTATCCCCAAAATTACATGAAAGATCATTAGCCTTCATTGACAGTTTTAAAAACTGCAGAACCCTAAAATCCAATGAAAGACAATCAACATGCCTTTATCATTATGAATGAGGATGATATTTCAGACTTTATTGTAATGAAAGTTAAGTGTCAATTCAAGAAAATCTAACTAACTATATGATTCACGGGCAGCTTTAAAAGAATAACCAAACACTATCAACTTGAAAATAACATTTTTGTAGTTAGCAAACAGAAGTAGTTACCATTCAGATAATCCTCAAAACCAAAATCTTCCAAACTTCCAGTCAAAGCCTCCAGTCCTAGCATTGAAGATGGAATTGGTCCTGGAGGCCTCCGGAATCTGCAAAGTTCACAAAAGAAAGATAAATAGTGCAAACATAGCAGCATAATCTGACAGCTGTAAAACTTTGAATATATTGTGTGTGCGTATGAGTGGAGAACCACAGCAAAAGAAGAAGAAGCCCTAGCAAATTTGCGACAAAATTGGGGTACAATATGCACATTTGATAATGAAAATGTATTAGCCAAAAAGGAGAGAATATCATCTTTCAAGTAGAAGGAAGTCCCAACCTTATTACAAGAATTGTTTTGTCCTATTTTCATACAGTATGTATGCCCAACAAATGAAGGTTTGTAAGGGACATTAGTTGGGTTTCATGGATAAGTCGCATTCAAGAGCCAACTCAACAAAATCAAGGTATTTGAGAGGATGATCTGTCTCTACTAGGTTATGCATGGAAAATAAACTAAATGCTTCCCAAACCTTAAAACCATCTTGTCAAAACCCCTCCACAAATAGCAACACACCAACCTCTAATGGGCTGCTCATTGACCTAAGCACAAGCTATAAAGCATTCCTAGTTTCACAATAACATATTTTCCTTCCACAGATTTACTAAGCAGAGAGAACCTTTGAAAAAAAGACGCCATCTTCTGCCAAGAGGGGTTTTTGAGTGTGCAATTTATGAAACAACTTTTATTGATCTAGTTTCAGAAGAAGCAATATTCCCACGCCTCATATCCATGCATAATTTTCAGCAAAAGTGACCCTAGTAGTAACTATATAGCGTCCACCTATGACGGCATCAAAACCAAAAAATTTCATCCAAAGATCATACACCCACACAATTCAACCACATTCGCACCAACACAAAAACCCAAAGCAATGTTAAGCAAGATCCACCCTATTTCCGCCTTGCACTCAGACCTAAGTTTCCTCTGATCAGCAAACTGAAACACAATCTCATTGAACTTTTCTGGTAAAAAAGGAAAAGCTTAGGATACCATTGAAAGCCAAATTCACAACATTCTAAACCAAAACAAAAATACCCCAGAAAGCAAAAGACCCAATCAGAATTCATCAAGGAGAGGTTCTTAAACAAAATATAAATCAGTCAAAAACACATACCTAGACAGCATCTGCCTTTCGATACCCATCTGAACAGGAAAAGCTGCCCCATAAGCGTTTGCAAGTGTTATTCTCTTCATGTCCTCTTGATTTTTCTCCACCTAAAAAACCCATTAAAAATTATTACCTTCTTAAACGAAAAGAAACCAACTTGAAGTTCAACAATCTGTTTCAGACAAAACCCTTAAACCCCATCATCATACTCTTCCCATAACAGATACTAACAGACAACAAAAAGGAACAAAAGGGTACAAAATTAACATATTTCTTTCAATTTCAAGCCATAAAAACAAGAAAAGAGAAGGGATCATTACAGATAGCAATGCAGATTCAAGAGGGTGAGATCCAATGATGTCGCCTCTCTTGGAATCAAGACCGAATCGAAGAATATCATGGACTTCTCCAATTTGATGCTCGATTGCCTTTGGTCCTTCCATTGTTTATTGTCTTCTTCGATTTCTCGTCTTCTCTTCTCTTCTATTTCTGCGTGTTCTGTCTTCGTGAACAAGTTGGAAGAGGAGAAAGTTCATAGGTATTTTATATTTTTGTATAGCGTGCAAAAAAGAAAAAAAGAAAAAGAAAATTTGCTGTTCTGAAACGACGACGTAGAGCTGTGATCTTTTTTTTTTTTTTTTTTTTTGACTGACTTATTAAGTAAGTTAGAGGTAACTATAAAACCAGTTCCTGTACTTGTAAAAAGTTTGTAATCAAGTATCTCTATTTTTATTGTTTCTATATCAGTATCTCAACTGTGTTTTGTTTTTCTAATCAAATGTGTTTAAGTTTTTTTTTTCTTTTTTTTTTTTGAGAGTCTCTATTTTACTTTATTTTTTTATTCAAATATCTCTGTTAATAATTCGTTAGATTTTGATGGCATGATCTTTAAATGTATACATGTCATATGGACCACAACGTAAAGGTAAAATGGTTGGCCATGAATCTATAAAAAAGATATTTTGTATGCTTTTACATAACGTGAAGTTATCATACATTATTTTAATTTTAATAATAATTAAGTAATTATAGAAAATAAGTAAATTTATAACATTTAATATATAAATTTCAGATATTTAATTATCAAAATTTAAGCTGTAACAAAGATTCAATATTTTTATTCTCACAATTATTACTTGCAATCTCACAATGACATAAATATTAGTGATGCAGTACTAAAATTCCCTAATGATTATATATAATACTGCCAATTAGTTTGAATTTTTTTACATAAAAAATATTTATTTTTAAAAATACTTTACTGCATGTGGAAATTTTGAATGTAAAATATTTCTATTAGTATATTATTTTTGCATAATTTTTAATTTAATTGTTAATTAACTTAATGATTTTTTTATTTATGATCTTATTTTTTTAATAGATTTTCTCTTTAAATTAATAATTATTTCATGTAATGTATTATTCAATTAGATAACTAATAATTTTAACAAAAAGAGTATTATACAAAAATATAAACAAAAAACACTAATATAAAATAACAATTAATAATTTTATTAAATTGTATAAAAAGCTAGAGGAAACAAATGTTGTTTTTGGTAGGTTGCTTGAGCAATGACAAGACTTTCCTTTTATTGATACTCATTTGAGGTGGTTTACATATTTTCTTAGCTCGCTTTAATTTTAATGTTAATGGTACTCAAATTGTAATATAAATTACTTGAGAAATTAGCATTTCCTAAGATTGGAAAAGCTTTGATAATAAAATATGAAGCAATTAATCCTTCTTGCTATCTTAGCTTAGTCTTTGAAAAAAAGTGATAATGTGATACTTGACAACTAAAAAAAACATATATTAAACCAATTTGTAGGTAGATATTGAAGAGAATGAAATTGAAGGTTTTGATTTCAATCTCTTCGTGCACAAAAAACAAAGATAATGCTATTTTCATTGTACTTCTTCGTGCTAAGAAGATAAATCCATTCTCAAGAGAAAGAAAAACAAGCAATGATAATGCCCCACCTAATAGCTAATGATTAAGACCTTACCGGATTTTGGGGTTAGAAAGGGTTTCTACTATGAGATAAAAGGCCTAGTTGGTTCCTTTTGACACTCTTACCACTTGCCACTTGCTACCTGGTTTTGTTTTTACCTGGCCAAACGTAAAATTCTATAAACCTATAATTCTATAACATGCTAAGGTGTTATCTAATGATTAAATTTCATTAAATTGGCTGAAAAATATGATAAAACGGCTATGAATGAGTCCAACTTGGAAAATGCAATAATTTGGAAAGAAAATACGATTTTCTAAGAGATGACAAGAGATGCATTCCAAGAGATGACAAGAAAGGGCTTTTCGGATAGGACACAACCTTAGAGTTAAATGGAATGGAAAAGGACTTTGTTGATGAATCTAAATGATCCAAACAATGACGAATGAAGAAAGTATTAGGTATAATAGGAGTTGTATTCCATTCTTTCAATATATATATATATATGAGACCTATTATAAAAACAATTCATAAGTCTTATATTTTTAAGAGAAAGATGACTAAGTTATTATCTTATCTTATGTTTTTGGTGGGACATATATAGACTTATTAACTAATGAGCTTCACGTTCTAAATTAACTATACTCCTTTTTTAACTAATGAGCCGCTCCATGAACTCCAAGGACTTTTGCTCCACATCATTCCTCCTAAGAAAGAGAAAATTCGACCTTGAATTGATCATATCATCATCGAAGAAGAATCACCACGAAAGGGTATCAAATGCTTAATATTGAACACATCGAGCAGTACGAATATGACTAAGCGGCTTAAGGCGATATGCATTAGGATTAATCTTCTCAACTATCTCCACAAGGCCAATCTTCTTTGCTGTCAATTTGTTGTAATCTCTAATAGAAAAATGGCCCTCGGTGACGACAACCCATACGAATTCACCTTCCTTAAACTCGAAATGGTGACGTTTTGTATCGCCGCTGCTTTATACTTCACATAGGACTAATTCAAATTATCATGCACGGTTTTATGAACCTCCCGTAGTCCCGTCACAAAATCAATTGCCTTGTCATGAATCTTTATCTTGCTCGGTAACGACATCGGATCCAAAGGCTCGTGCAATATGACGAATACACCGCTTGAAAAAGGTTGAATCTCATACTCCTATTCACGAGCATGGTTATGTGCAAATTCAACTTGGCATAATTTATGATCCTAACTCTTGATATGATCACCAACCAAACATCATAGCAAGTTTTTCAAAAATCGATTGACAACTTCGGCTTGCCCATTCGTTTGGGGATGATAAACACTGCTAAAATTTAACTACATGTTCACCATCTTCCACAAACTACATCAAAAATGACTTAGGAGCCTCGTATCTCTATTAGACATAATGGATATAGATAGACCATACATGAGATTCACCTCTTAAAAATAAAGACGAGCAACATTAACGACACTCGTCGTCTTTTTGCAAAGAATAAAATGAACTATCTTACAAAAACGACCAACAACCACATAGATGGAATTATTATCTCGCTATGTTCGGGGTAGTCCCAAACAAAATCTATGCGGACATCCACCCAAGGCTAAGAAGGTACCGGCAACGGCATGTAAAGTTCGACATTAGTAGTCGCACCCTTAGACACTCGACGGATACGACGGTGTTAAACAAACATATCCACTTCTTTTTGAATGGTAGGCCAAAAGTATGAGCCTTGAACTAGTTGCAATGTTCTATCTTGCCCCACATGACCCTCCCTATGCAACTCCTTAATAATCTACACACGCAAATTGCAATCGAGAATACAAAGCTGGTTTCCCTTGAACAGGAACCCATCATGCAATAGGAATTTCGTCTTCTCTCCCGCATAAACCTTCTCCATAACGAGTAGAGAAATATAGATCGGTATCAAACAAATTACAAAAAAAATCCAAACCGAGTACCTCAACTCGTATGTGCGTCGACAAGCAACTCCTTTTACTCGGTGCATTTACCACCATGTTAGTGACCCTAGCCTTATATTTAACCATAAAGGTGAATCTGTTGCAAATAAGCAACCCATCTCACATGTCTTATTAAAAATTTATCTTGTTTCTATAGGTGCTTTAACGCCTCATGGTCGAGTATACAATATGAATTCCTTGTGGAATAAGTAATGCCTTCAATACTTGATTGCTTGAACCATTACATAAAACTCTATATCATAAGTACCGTAATTAAGCTTTACACTTGATAGTTTCTTTCTTATTGAAGTAGGCCACTGGTCTATTGTTCCGACTCAACATTATCCTAATACCCAATTTTGATACATCACTATATAGCTCGAAGGGTTATATAAAGTCCGGCAACACTAAAATCGAGATAGACGTTAATCGTGCTTTAATTTTTTGAAATGTCTCTTCCGCCTCTTCGAGTTCACATAAAATTTGTCGCCTTCATACGATCGGTAATCGAGGTCATGATGCTGCTCGAAGTGAGGAATAAAGCATCAATAAAAAAAGGTAAGCCCATAAAGCTTTAGATCTTTATAATGTTACTAGGTTGTGGCCACTTGTCTCACTATCTCAACCTTGGACTCATCTACTTACAATCCATTTCCATAAACGATATAACTAAGAAACAACACGTTGGGTTCTATGAACATATATTTTTTTACTACTACATAAAATTTATCTCTACGAAGCATTGTCGAACCTCTCTCAAATACCGACCATGGATCTTGGGATTAACACTATAAATCAAAATATTATTAAAATAAATAATGAAAAATTTACTAATAAATGGCCTCACGGTTTGATTCATGACGCACATAAAAGTGCTTGACGCATTTGATAACCTAAACGACATTACTAACCACTCATGCACCCTTCATGTGTCTTAAAAGTCGTCTTCTATTCATCTTCAAGCCTAATGCGTATCTAATGATCTCCACTCTTCGGAGTTCGGTTTTGTAAAGACCGTTGTACCTCCGATCCGGTCAAGTAAATCATCCAACTCGTGGAATAAAAAACTTATACCGGACTCGTGATCTTGTTAATGGCGTGACTATCTACACATATGCGCCAAAACCATCCTTCTTTGACGTCGGCAATGCGAGCACGGCACGAAACTCAAGCTCTCTCGTACATGTCCCTTAGTAAGCGACTCCTCAACCTATCTCTTCAATTCCTCATGCTTACTACAACTCATTCTATAATGGGTTCTATTGGGCAACATCGCCCTAAGCTCTAAATCAATCCGGTACTAGATGTCTTGTAACGATGGTAACTCCTCAAGCAACTCCTCTAAGAATACATCATGAAATTCTACCATAAGAAGGGCTATTGTCTTTCATACTACCGCATCGGCTTTAACTTTCTTTCCCATCAACACATAAACCACTCTCGAATCCTGTACCTCTTTCTCAAATCGAGCTATCGACACCAACTTACTCGTCATCTTTGCAACCTTGGAAACAGTTGGATTCTTGCT